TGTAGCACGGGTTTTTATCAGGTAGGGTTTTATCTCCAGGTTTTTTAGAAAATGGGATAATGACCAAGACATTGTAAACTCCCCTTTATCATATAGAGAATTTAATAACATTTCCAGAAATGGTAAAAGAAAACTGCCTGATTATTTAAATATTTCGCCAATTACGTAATCTTCCCTTATCCGCCTGATGAGCCCTTAGTTTGATCCTACTAGCATGTACTCCATTCTTCATCAATTTATTGGCAGAAGCTGACCAGTCAAATCATCGAAAGTTGAATTGTTAATGTGTTCATTTCGGCTTCCAGCAAACAGGTGTTTAAAATAGCTAAATCAAGTTTCAGGAGATATTTCAATTAATCGGTGAAAGACCACCAGTTAGGCTTTTTATTTTTTGCCAGAACGTTTTAGGATTTCCCATTACGTCATTCAGTTCATGTAATTGCTTATCACCATGACTGCGTTTTGCCGGCTTAGAAGCTATATTATTATATCATACATTTATACACCGCGGGTATCCAGGTACTAGTACATGTTCAAACGTGGTTTTATTTGTTCCCCGACCATTGGATGTTTGCATTCCAGTTATTAATCTCAACTCCCAGGGGAGTATACAACCCAATTAACCTACGGGCGCTAGGTGGCTTTTACATCCACCTTACATATCGGGTACCCTGCTGGATGAACAGAGGCACATTTGAACTAAGTCACTTGCCCAGTGTGACACCACACGTTTTGACAGTTGTGTTCCGGGAATATGTACCTATTCGTGATTCCACCGTCTTGTCGTCTACCATCGGACCAGTGGGTTCTTTTGAGTGTACAGGGTTTATGTACTGTACACTAGGGATAGTGACAACACTGTAGAGACTTGTAAACATTGTCGGTCCCAAGGCGGTCACCAGAGGGATGTCTGGCGCTTTTGATCGCTTGCATACATTTCTACTTGTTACATAAGCGACTAGAGACGCGTCATCTTTACGTTCACCAAACAAGTTCCAGAAATGACAAACGCTGCTGTTATAAAGATTGTCAAGCCAACTATGTACCTGACAGCGTAATGTAACAGCACGCTTCATACATTCAGCAGTGTTCGAAATAAACATCGGCCCCTAGGCCCGAGGCCGACAAATTTGTTCTCGGGCTGATAGTTTTAAATTTCAGCAGGCACTTACGGCCTGCAGTTTTTGTTGTTGTTGAGCAATTAATTATTTAGCATTATTATAAGTAATCTGATAAACATACTTTCATATTCATAAACAGTAGGATTAGAACTTTCAAATGACATGTAGTCACAAAGATTTTTACAAGCTGATGATTTCCCAATAAATGTGGGCTTCATGTATCACCACCCAGTCTCTGGGAACTCGGCTTGGTAGCAGTAAAAACTTCTGGTTGACTGGTTGCGTTTTGTAATTAATGGTGCAAGAGCACGTCTCAGAATCAGAATCAGTTTATTCTCAAAAACCAGAAAAGGCGGTACAACAGCATATTACAACAAATAATTATGTATATGTACAAATAGCAGACAAGATGGCAGTTATAACAACATGTGGTTACCTAGCTTTCTTAATACTAAAGGACATTTTTACATAAATCTCGATAAATTCTTTAGATCCTGTGTGTTTGTTGTTGATAAAAATGTTTTACAAATTTTATAATATTTGGCCATTCAGTATAATATGGTGATAGTAATGTTTGCCTCTCTCTTTAAAAAAAGACATCTGAATAAGTAGTGAAATTCATCAGCAATAGATGGAGAATTACATAATTTACAGGTTCTATTTTCCTTTGGAATATTTTTCCATCGGCCAGTCTAAAAACTTCTGGTTGACTGGTTGCGTTTTGTAATTTATGTTGCAAGAGCACGTCTCCCTGCATCAGCTAAAATGTTTGGGACTACAGTTTTTCCACTGGGCCTACGGTTTTCCCACTGGGACTACAGTTTTTCCACTGGGACTACAGTTTTTTTTCCACTGGGACTAGTTTTTTAAAATGTGCTGGCCCTTAAGGCTCTCAGTTTATTCTGCTGAGTTTCAGACACTGCTCAGTAGTATGTCAGTAAACATGTTAACTAATTGTTCAACATCAAATGTGGAAATATGCACCCCGTGACTTTTATAAATCTGTCGGTCTACCATCTCGGGGACATGAGAAGCCCAGTACCCCATCAGGGTAAATTACACCCACTTCAAATTTTAACTCTATCTGCCTGGTCTGGTTTGGTTTCCTTGTATTTTCAATGTTCAGTAAACCAGGAGGTTTTGAAATCCATAAATCATGTTCCTTTTGAGACTGTAAGTAACTTGCGAGTGTTATTTATAGTGTTTCTCGCTGTCATTTTCAATTTAGAATATTCAAATATATCAAAGCTAGTCTACCAGTAGAAGTTCCTTTAAAGTAACTGTAATTGATGTACTGATGTACGTAACACACTTGGTAAGGGCGGTTTCATGTGGCTATTAGTAATGCTGGAGTGCTCAAAGCAACTTAACGTGCCTCACACATTGTTCCGTATGAGTAATGGCAACACACGTCTGCACTGTGACGGAAGGAGGGCCTACCGGTATCTTGACTGTCGCCAGTGATGATCGGGTTGGAATAGCCTAGGTCTTCAGCTAGCCATGCCTGTCTTAAGAGGTGACATGCTTGTCGTAAGAGGAGACTGACGGGATCGGGGTGGTCAGGCTCACTGACTTGGTTGATGATGTCATCGTATCAAAAATGCGCAGATCGATGCTCAAGATGTCAACCACTGGATTGTATGGTCCAGACTCGATTATCTACAGAATGCTGACATATAGCTGGAATATTGCTGAGTGCAGTGTTAAACAACAAACAAGTGAAAGTCCCTGAATGGCAAATGGCCAATGATCAGAGGTAGTCCTTTTAGTTTTTACCTACCGGGTATAATTATTTAAAGCAAGACTGTTTAGAAGAAAATAAAACAACTACTCAAGGTAAGCCTTCCAAATGAAAATGCAATGCAACATTGGTGCCTACAACCTTGCCAGATCACTAAGATCACAAGAGAAAAACATTCTGATTGTAGCAAAGTCATAAACTGTCCAATATGGTGAGCGTTGAGTGAGTGAGTGAGTGAGTGAGTGAGTGAGTATGGTTTTACGCCGCTTTTAGCAACACTCCAGCAATATCACGGCGGGGGACACCAGAAATGGGCTTCACACATTGTACCCATGTCGGGAATCAAACCCGGGTCTTCGGCGTGACGAGCGAACGCTTTAACCACTAGGCTACCCGACTGCCCTGGTGAGCGTTGAGGACAATGTCATATGTAGATATTTCCAAAAGATACCTAGTACAATATTTCAAAATAAATCATCTCATCGAAAGTGTCAAGTTTTCATGTATCTAGTTTCTAGTATGTCATGTTTTAAGTCTGTTTATTTCAATAATTCATTATGAATACTCACTTTCATAAGACAGTTGACTTGATGGGGAGTTTGTATTACCAGAGTATTTGACTTCTGACAGATCAATTTGATAACAATTTTTCTTTGTCAATAGGCCAATATGCTATGATGCAAAGTTAGAACAAAATTGTTGTTTTAGTTAATCTCTTAAAAAGAAAACATATAAAAAAAAGCGTTTTAATATCTATCTGTTTCTACTTTGCAAACAGTGGGTGAGGCTCATGTCTCTTCAACATTTGTATATTCATCCCATTACTCAAGAATGGATACAATTTGTACAACTCTTTACAACCATATTTATTTCTCCAATTTGGATGATACAATCAGTATCATTTTCAAATGTTATGTATGCATGTTTTATTATTATCAGGCAATGTGTTTGACCTGATATTAAGCTTTTAAGATAATACACGATTGTTGGGTAGACAGTAGTAAACACTAACATTTCTCTCCAAACTTATTTCACGAAACTTAATTATTTGAAATGAATCATTCCCATTGAAGACAAGCAGTAAGCTGGTATTGCTAGCACTGTTTGTTGTTTGTTTGTTGTTTAATGCCGCACTCAGCAATATTTCAGCTTAATGACAGTGGTCTGTAAATAGTAGAGTCTGGACAAGACAATCCAGTGATTGACATCATGAGCATCAATCTACGCAATCGGGATACGATGACATGCATCAACCAAGTCAGTGAGCCTGACCACCTGATCCTGTTAGTCGCCTCTCACAACAATCAAGCATAGTCTCTTACAGCAAGCATGGGTTGCTGAAGATATATTCTCAACCCTGATCTTCATGGGTCTGTCGGGACGTAATAAGCAGAGTAGATACATATTCACGACAGAATTTCTGCAAAAGGTCATGAAAAGAGCATAAGTACAAGCATGCAACAAGAGAATGTGGGATTTATTTAGGGGAAAATTATCAGATTGTGTTGTCCAATGCTGGGACATATTTACTGTTTCCTGAGCCGTCTTGATTGAATATTGTTTTCAGACTGTCACAAACAGTCCAGCATATGGCAGTCTGTAAATAATCCTGTCTTCAACCAGCAGTTGATAGCAGAAGCAACAATAGACAACACCAGTGTGTGTGTGTGTGTGTGTGTGTGTGTTTGTTCTTAACGCTGCACTCATTAATATTCCACGAGTTGCTAGGGACTGATCCTAACCCTGACTCCCCCAAAATTTGAACATTTCACACTCATTTATAACATAAATATAGATTTCAATAAAACTGATATTGTTCTTCTACTGAACAAACACAGTATTTTGATAAGGGGAACAGAATTCCACGTTAAGGACAGGAAAGTGAAATACAGTTGCTAAAAAAATGTCCTAAGCCTCCTATAATTAATAAACAAGCATTCCTTTATACGAGTAGTAACCAGTGGCAAAGGGGCACGTGTTGCCGAGTTGGTGCAGCTGAGATGACGAGGAGGGGGGCGTAGTTACATACCCTGGTTTACACTGACGACGCACAGACAAACACTCATCATCCCGTCAACTCCAGTCGTTTTGTTAGCAAAATATTAATACAGGTGCCCAATATAAAAGATGAACAGGTGTTCTTTGTATAGATGTTTATTTTCATAAAAATAATCTATAGGATTCCGCGAGTGTACATGCTTTTCTATCTAAATCAGGACAAAGCTGTGAAGTGTATGACAGGAGGTCGAGGATCTTCGCCATGTCCCTTTCTATTCACACTTGCCAGAGATACCTCCATACAGACTCCATTCATGCCAAAATTAGCCTGCAAAACAAAAACAAAACTTGAAACTCAAGCCCACAACAACATCCTTAAAAGCAAACCTCAATCCTGTTGCTGTTAAGGTTCCTATTAAAGTTGGCTTTTCATTGAGAGTATGGTATAAGCCAGAGCCACAGTGAAACAGAAAGCCTTCACCGGGCGGCCATACAGAGAGTTCATGAGGCGATGACACCTCAAATTGAGGTTATGTCGCCTATTGTTGTGGAGTAGGGGCATCGCAGGTGCCAGGTCACTATGATGCCTTGAGTGAGTGATTGTGGGACAGATGACTCAATTAAGTTGCTGCTCAGTGCTCATTAACTGATGCAGCTTACCTGTACAGCTTGCACCTGTTGCTTTGAAGTCTCTCAGGTGTGTCTATAATCGGGAAGCACGGGTAGGTTCACAACAAGGGGAATTCATGATCTTGTGGCTTACTTCATTTATACATCAATGCCTAACATTTCACAACAGATTTATTGTACAATAATTTTATTCCCTTTTTGTCGCATGATTAATCAGTTTTCATTCAGAAGCTGAAAATTGTCAAATGCTTGGTTTATATTTTAAGTCTTGACTTTTATGGCTGGTTTATGTAGCAAAGATCATTAGGCCTCAGATGATCAAGTTGCTCTAGGCAAAAACCTCATCATAATAACTGGATGCATGAATAGCACACAGCAAAGATACCCTAATTTCATTCACACTTTGATTTTGAAAAGTAACGATGACAGGTTTCACATTTGAATTAACAAAAGTGTTCGACTGTTAACGCAATAAAAGATTTTAAGATCGGTCCTTGTGAAATATGATCAGAGTTTCTAAACGTGTACAAATTGTGACCCGTACCTCATTTTCACCAGTCCCGAATAAGGGCGTACAGAGGGAAGGGGCCTCTCTATCGCCACCTGCAGTACAACTTTACGCCGCAGACCACCCATTAATATCCTTACAAATGCAATCAAGCAATCAAATCAGCATGTTATCTGAAAAACTTGCACAGATCAGACAAATCTTAAATACAAGCATTCACCTGTGTATTCACAAAGACACCCTCAGATTTTCTCTCAATCATGACGAAACTCAATCCGCTGTCTGAGGCAACAAGAGTCACAAGCTATGCGTATATTTGGGTCTTTTTCTCCCACCTCTCGTATCTGCAGTGTCTGGTTCGAGAAATTAGGTGTAATTGGTGATCGTAGCTCCCCCTATGTGTCACATGACCCCGCCGCTGTAAGTCAATCCCCCCGACTGAGGAACACAGGACAACAGTGCTTCACAAAACAGGGTGATTACCTGCCCTTGTCAAGCTTTGCTACACAACCCCAGGCTATTGTTGAGGAATAGTTGGAGTCACAAAAGAAAATGATGATTGAACTATTCATTAGATATATAGACAGACTGCAATCACAAGAGTCATCTGAAATTATTTTTATCTATTTCAAGGGGTTTCTCATTTATGTACAAGGGAGGAAATACAGTTCATTTAAGTTTGCACAAAAATTAAACATGAATGTCAAAAGGTTCTTATCAAATCCCTATTTGTTAAATGTGAACATTTAGGGGTCTTTAGATAGTCCTCTAGCCCTAGGCACTCTGTCTAATTAGGAGGCACGGGTGGCCCAGTCGTCTGTGCAGAGTTGCATCCCTTGGGCATGCCAGAAACCTGATTGTGGGTTTGAATCCTGGTTTGCCCCGATTATGTTTCTAGGTTTGTCAGCACCATACCCGTGCTCGTGTGTTTCATCGAAGTGGTAAACATCTGAGACCTGCACCACTTCGGACTTTCCTCCCACATTAAACTGACAAGCTGTGATATAACTGGAATAATGTTAAAAACAGCGTTAAACCCAACTCACTCACTCACTGTCTAATGGTGATTGAGTGAGTGAGTGAGTGAGTATGGTTTACGCCGCTTTTAGCAATATTCCAGCAATATCACGGCGGGGGACACCACAAATGGGCTAATGGTGATTGTATCCTGAGGGCAAGTAGAATGTTGTGGGTGTCTTTATGTATAATCACTTCTTGGGCTTGTGAATGTTTCAGATAAGAGCAAGCCTACAGGACCCTCCACAACCTCCAATACCGTAAATATTTGATGAAAAGATCCCTACAGTGCTTAGATACATTTCCTAATCTGACAAATAGTTTGAAATTTCAGCAGCATTATTTTGTCTAAAACATATTGTAATATATATAAATATAAAACATCAGCTGGTGATACAGCTGTATTACCACTCTCATATTCACTGTAAATAGTGCCTTGGATCACTATAAAATGACAAATGGGGCACTTATTAAAACCATACATGAGGGAAATTTGCTGTTGGACATCAAGCAGTAGAGAACAAACTCTATGATAATAGTTACTAGCAATTATAAACCCTTTCTACACTGATGTGTTTTCCTACAAACAAACAACTATACAGAAGAAAATAATGACTTTTATGTAAACAGTTCGGCTTAGAGTAGGGGCACGTACAACAATTACTTACAGATAGGTCAACAAGTTGGTCAAGGGACAAATATTGGACCATTTCTAAAATGTTCTCTTCAATGTGAAAGGCACAGATGGCCCAGTCTTCTAAGCCGCCGCAATTTGCTGTGCAGAGTTGCTTGGAGATACCAGAAAGCCTTGATCATGGGTTCGAATCTGAGATATGACCAAATATTGTTTCTAGGTTTGTCAGCAGCATAGGTTTGTCAGTTTGTGTTGCCAAGAGTGATAAATTCCATAGACTTTCCCCCCACATGAACTCATTACCTCTCATGAATGTTTTCTTTCTGAGTCCTATGTTTTTGACAAATACATAAATACTTGGCCTCGGCTTTGCCAATATTTCTAACCTGTAACGACCATATTTGTATCACTACTCTCCTTTCATGTATTACTACTGTATCAGGAAACACACTGTAACAATATACGGATATTTCAATGACAGTCTTACATAACTCTGTTGCTACCTTTCAAATATAGTATTTATCAGATGACATTTCTTCGATTCCACTTTTTGGCTGCCACACCATCAACCAAGTCACACAATGTGACGATCCGAACCTAGTGTAGCTGACAGCTTACAACAAGCATGAGGTTGTGGCTCTGACATGGACATTCCTAGTGTCTGTTGGCTTCAGCCATCAACAATAAACAATAACAATTATTGTTATCACATTGAATCTCTTGACTAACACCTGTCAATTTATATAACACTAAGTGGCTTATCAAAACAGACAGCATTGATAGCATCAGCTCTCCGCCTTACATGCTTGACAAGAACGCAGAACATTGAAGATGAAAAGCAAAAATAGCATGAAGGTCATGTAGCTCACCTTTCTCAATAGAAACTGATCTTATTAATTACTACCAATGTTCTGAAACATTTGTTGTTTAACGTCACACTCAGCAATATTCAAGCTATATGATGGCAGTCTGTAAATAATTGAGTCTGGAAAAGACAATCCAGTGATTGATATCATGAGCATCGATCTACACAGTTGGGATACTATGCATACACCAAGTCAGTGAGCCTGACCACCCACAACAAGTCTCCTTTTACTGCAAGCTGAAAATGGGTCGCTGAAAACCTATTCTAACTTAGATCTTCACAGGTACAGTTAAATTCTGACCTGACAACTGTCATTTAATAAATGAAGTAAAATAGATTGACATAATAGATGATCTACATTAAATATAACAAGCATATAGTTGACAAAGTCATCTATATCCCCCGCCCATTTTAACACGTTATGGTCCCAAACCAGGTAACTGACCAAACATTTCTCTTAGCCCATGTCAAAATAGCTGAAATGGAAATTCTAAAAAAAACATTTCTAAAACTCCTTAATATCAAATGGCACTAGTTCAGTATGCGCTTTATATATAGACATGCAATGTTTGGCAAGGAAATATTTAACAGTTTATTTGTTATACTACTTAAGTAAACCAATCCTATATTAAAACTTAAATCCAACTTGTTGTCATGGAAACATAAACAATAAAAATTTCTAAAAGTGCTATATATCAAAAGGCACCAGTTCAGTATGTGCCTGGTAGACATGCAAAGTTTTGTAAGAAAGTATTTAACGTTTTTTGAGTTACACTCTGGAAACGAACACCACCCCTGTAGAACCTAAGTCAAACTTATTGCCATGGAAACGTGAAAAATAAAAATTTCTAAAATTCCTAAATAGCAAGAGGCACCAGTCCAGTATGTGTCTGGTAAACATGCACAGTTTTTGTTGGAAAGTATTGAATGGGTTTTGAGTTATGCTCCGGAAAGAAACTCTACCCTATAGAACCTAAGTCCAACTTGTTGCAATGGAAAAAAAATAAAAATTTATAAAATTCCTTAATAGCAAAAGGCACCAGTCCAGTATGTGTCTGGTAAACATGCACAGTTTTTGTTGGAAAGTATTGAATGGGTTTTGAGTTATGCTCCGGAAAGAAACTCTACCCTATAGAACCTAAGTCCAACTTGTTGCAATGGAAAAAAAATAAAAATTTATAAAATTCCTTAATAGCAAAAGGCACCAGTTCAGTATGTGCCTAGTAGACATGCAAAGTTTTGTAAGAAAGGATTTAATGGTTTTTGAGTTACGCTCCGGAAACGAACACCACCCTAATAGAACCTAAGTCCAACTTGTTGCCATGGAAACGTAAAAAATATAAATTTATTAAATTCCTAAATAGCAAAAGACACCAGTTCAGCATGAGTCTGATAGACATGCAAAGTTTCGTAGAGAAATATTTAACGGTTTCTGAGTTAACGCACGCAGGCACGCACGCAGGCACGCAGGCACGCACGCACGCACGCACGCACGCACACACACGGACAGAACCCATTTCTATATCCCTCGCCAACATCGTTGGGGCGGGGGATAATAATATCAACAATATAAATAGTCTAGACATAACAAAGCCATTACTCCATGATAAGAATGATCACTTAAATCCCAGATACTATAAAACTGTTATGTCACATGGAAGATCTTCAGGGGTGTCCCAACAAGAGGAATACATTTGATCCATCTTAGAAATCTGTGAATCTCACTTCACCATGAGCTAGATAATAAGCAGTTGTAATTTAGAAACCTTTCCCCCTTCCTTTTCTTTGAAATTGATTATACCCTTTACAATTTCTGAATCCCAGCTGTGTGAATGATATTGTGCATTATGCATGTGCACTATGCATGCTCATATGTTTATTCCCATGTACTTGTCCACTTTACATGTGCAAAAGTACATTTTTCACTGGCACTCTTTTAATAAACATTGTCAAAAAGTATTTTTGTGAGTGAAAATATCCAAGTGTGCATATCAAGAACCAGGAATGAATTCTAATGCTGCCATTTGCGCTATCATACAAGGAACTGTTAAGTTTGTTAAGCTGCAAAGCTCATTTCAAACAAGTTTTCTTCCACAACATTATTACAAGTTTATGTCTGCCAAATTGCCAATATTACCATATTTATTTTTTCCATCAAGAATCCCTCAACAAATAAAGGACCACAGATGCCACAGCTTTTCTCTGAAAAAAACATTTTGGATAATCAAAGATGGCTTCCTGGATGCCATCTTGAATTCAGATTTTGATACTATGAAGAAATATGAATCTCCCAGAGTCCATCAAACAAATTTAAAAGGAGTTGTCAATAAGAAAAGCAATACATGCCAATCTGCTTTCCATGCGTTTTGGCCAGGTGAGCTAAAAGACAAATGACACAATCCCCATATAGCTATGAGGCTATCTAACACTGCAAGTCCTACTTAATAATGCATGTAAGAATCCCATTGCAGAGGCCATCTTTCTCTGGCTACATCTATAATGAATCAAGAGTACTCCTAAATCACGTTTATTGGAGTTATAATTGTTTTTCTTGCCACGTATAGCTACTCATGAGAATGACTGACGTAATTAGCCTTTCAATAATTACTTCAAATTGAGACAAAAGATGATTGACTTTCCCAGTAAAATAACACTTGCCAAGTAAATTTGCTCTATCTATATGGCATTTTATTTCTAATTTGTAATTGAGAATCCTTAAACTATTTGAAATGAAATTATTTGAGCTGCTTGAATTTGAGGCTATCATGCCATAACTGCATATCACCAATTTCGGTCATGCAGATTCTAAAAGTTGGACAATTTTGAAAATATATTGAAATATGAAATTATTTAAATGGACAGAAACCTCATAACTAAAACTATCAAAGCATGTTAACATTTGTCAGATTTGCATGGAATGAAACTTCAAAATCATAAATACAAGAGCAACGAAATGTTCCAACACCAATGTGAGTGATGAAGTTGGAACAATATTTCAGGTACCATATTTGCTGCTCCTGCTCCAGGAAGCATCCCCTCACCAACCTTCAAGACCAGTTTATAAGTATAAGCGCCCGCTACTAAAACTGTTGATTTAAAAGACAGTCCATATTTACACAGATCACAGATATCTTACAGAAAACAGCAGTGTTATATGGTATTATAATTCCCAATAACCATCATAGCATCACAATTGTTTCGTTTCTTAGTCATTTGAACTAATTTTGTTCAATCCCGCTCAATCACTGACAACAAATTTAACTCATGCATGGTATGATATGCCCACTCCCCACAGATTTTCTTAGTGCCCAAAGGCTTATTTCAGTGAATATGGTATATCATCAGCTAAGAGTTTACCACTATGGGGAGACTAACAAACTGAGGTACCAAGGATCATAATCAGGGAATCTGGGATTCAGCTTCCCAGCGGATCGTGGCATGACTAAGGGAAGCAACCTTATGCAGCAAATTACGCCATACTGTAAATACAGTCTGAATTATACTGTCTTCCAATGTATAGTAGAAATTGGCAAAGTAATATTAAACCTTGAAAATATTCCTATTTATCACCAACTGAAAATCAAGTATTTCATGATTTGACAACATTTTCTGGTGACCTTGACCTTCATCAGAGGTAATCGACAATGAGTTACCTTCAAAGTGATCTTGACATTTCACACAAATAAGAGATATGACAGATACTGACTTTAATATTTACAGTCATCATCATAGCGTGGGAAAATGGTTTGATTTTTCATGAATTAATAATACTAATATATTGTAAAGAAATCATAAACACAAGTTTTTTTTAAATGTCATAATAAGAAAGTATAACATATCACTGAATTAATGACATTACTTCCACCAGGGTAAAATACATGTCATGTGCATTGTCATCCAAATGGCTTTCTACTTTAGTAAACACTCAAGTTATCATGAACATAATACATTTTTTGGTGCATGACCTTCAGAGTGAATTTAACCTTCAATATCAGTTACCAATATTCCATGACAAGGTAGACACAACGTACATCACATCTTCACTTTGATTGTTGTAGGAGGTTGTGGGTAACGTTTCAGAAGCTTGTTGATTGTACGAGATGTCGGCTTCCCAGCTACAGAATCAGTCTGGCCAAGACTCTCAGCTTGTTGGAGCGCCCTTGCTTCACTCTGAAATAACAGAGAGAGGAAAGAATGACATTGACTTCTGAACTTCATCACTTATAACTCAACTCAAACATAACAAAATAGAGCCACAATGCTCGGTAGGTCACCCCACTTCAAACTTATTTTGGTTCAAAAAGTTATAGTGAGTCAAAAGTGAGTGTGAGTGAGATTGGTTTTACACCGCTTTTAGCAATATTCCAGCAATATCACAGCGGGGGACACCAGCAATAGGGCTTCATGCATTGTACCCATGTCGGGATTCAAACCTGGGTCCTCGATGAGACGAGCGAACGCTTTAACCACTAGACTACCCGAATGCCCAAGTGAGTCAACATAAAACTTGGAACAAAGATTGTAGGAGAGGGACTTTTTTTTAAACATCGTTTCTGACAATGAAGTTGAAAGTGAAAACAGTGTTGGCTTGAACAAACTTGGATGTCAATAATGCAAAAGTTAATAACAACGAAAACATACCATGATATAAGCTCACTTGACTTTCTTTCATGTGAGCTACAAAGCCAGACAAACCAGGCAACCATTATGATGCATCCCTCCGCTCACCATAGCACCATACTTTACCTACAGTTCACCTTAACACATCCAAACAAAAACAATCTTTTTCGCTACAGATTAATTATTTACACAATGATTAAAGGTCACATAAATCTCTGCCAACGAGGAATGTAACTGCCGGATGCCACTCCTGGCTACATGGTCCCTGAGTACTTTCCTGTACCTAACCAGTGTCCTACCATTGCTACACTATCTATTGATCATGTTGATACAAACCACCAACTTCGTGATCAGATCAATGAAAACAGCAAGGTGTGGTGATTTCTAGGGGCAAAGGTTATTCAATATTATTTCTATGCTACCACTCACAAACATTATTCTCAGGGCTTTTTAAAGCGAAGCAACTTGTCTGAATTGCTAGCGTTCCGTCCTGTTTGAATATACATCACTGCCATAACAATTTCATTGCAAAATGATAGAAGTACCGAGCTATGCACGTGCACGTTTTTCGATTAGATCAAAATATTACTTGCGCGATCACACCCTGTCATAGTTTCACAGTCATGCTTGTAAGAAAGATATAACCGACCACAGAACATTCAAAATCAATGAGAAGAGAACAGGAGACATGTTTCAATCCAAACAAAATAGTCAGCACCCATCAGCTGAATGCCAAGTCTCTGCTTGTTATGGCTTCTGATGTTTACCTTATAGTGAATGGATTGTCGGGAGTTGTATTCACACACGATGAATTAACCGTTGTTGAGTGTCAAGATGATTGTGTGATTAGAGGTGATGGCTTGGTAAACAGTTGTCGCAATTGCCGGTCGAGTGTCACTGAATGTCATAAAATGGCTTTGATGTTTTTCACACCTGAGCGCTTTAAGATTGTTTACACAGGTGATCAGCCATGATTCCTCTATTCGTTATACGAACAACACACAACCCTGAAAACTATACTATTAGCAACCCTTCCAATAGAATATCTGAAAAGCCTTTTTTCTTAGTCTCCGATAATTTACATATCATTTCAAAATGTTTCAAACTCAAAAGGAAGAGTTAAAGGAAGATAAAATAATCTTATCACCTGTGTAATTAAATCTCACTTACAGGTATGCGACACCCGTTGACTGGGCTTCTGTCTTGTACAGCCACCACCACACCTGTGAGTTCTCCACTATGTTTACAGAGATTCCCATAGTCAGAACTCTCCTATAGACTTGTATAAGCACAGGTGTTGGGTTGTGATCAGCATAATCAAACTGGACCATGCTTCACCCACACTGAAGTAGTTGCTGATTAACCTATGATATCTATCCGACTGCTTGGTCATTTCCAGAAAACTGATATCACTTTTGGAGAGGCAAAAACAATTTGAAAATATCTAATATATCTTATAGTAATATTGATTCAATATACTCTGATCAGTTAAAGACAAACTTCATTTTGTCTGGTAGCCTACAAGACCACTGCCCTAAAAACAAACAATAGGCCACATCTGTCTTCAGTACTGTCACTGACATTTTCTACTTTGTATCCTGCATACTTTTGCCATTTGGTTAAGGTTAAATCATAAAACTGACATCACATTTTATAACATATAATACACATATCTCTTTTCATAAACACAAGTCCTCACCACAATCTTCATGATACACAAGGACCATGATACTTTTCCTATAAATGTTTTCCTTTACTAACTAGGACTTCCTAGAAGAACACTATCAGGGCTGGCTGAAGAGTTCTGAGCCTAACTATGATGAACTGAGTTAATGGAGTTGTTTGCTAATTAATTTTCAACATTATTGCATCCGAGGTCCACACACTTCTGCCAAGGATGCTGTAGTGCCTGGATCCAGCTGGTGTAGAAGGCTTCCTCCTGGTGGTGTAAAAATTCTCCACAACAGAGGCCATGTCATCATTATTTGCATAATATTTCTTGCCACACAGTTCTTTCTTAAAGTTTGGGTAGTGCTGGAAATCTAAATGGTCTGACCTTGCAGAAGGTAGTCCACAGTAATATTCCTTCGGAGTCCCAGAAAACCACCAGAAAATTTGCCAGCTGATTGATCAGACTTTGCCTTCTTCTTCTTTGTCAGAGGAGACGTCAGATGTTTCCAGCACTTTCAGGGCCTTTTCTGCCCCTACCTCTTAACAGTGGCAAAGTAAGGAACATCATCCCCTAAGTTGAAATCATAAACCACGCAGATGGCTGTTGGAGACACTTCATGAGAGTGTAGTTGTCAATTTTGTCCATTTTGATCAACAAAGAATACCTTGTCACCTTGATTCCTGTAGGAATATGCTGCCTGGTTGGGTATGTGGTTTAAAAGCAGCCTGCTTGCATGCAAAATGTGAAAGGTGTCCTATATATCCTTCATAGGTATGCTCAGAACTTTTCAGTAAAAGTAAAACTTTTAGTAAATGTTTTGGTAAGCATGGATTTATATATTTTTATGTTTTTTTGGAATAATGTTTCCTACATTGTTGATAAGGCCTGATTTTATTATGTTAATTTATTGGGGTTTTTTTATGTATTTTTTAATTAATCTCAAATAAACATGACACAAATGTTTTCTTAAAGTTTGCTCTATAAAACTTAAAATTAAATTGTCTTGTCTAACAAAACTATTCCATGGTGTAAACGGAATAAAATGTACAGTCCATATGCAGCTGAACAATGAATACCCCCAATGTATATCAAGCCAGTCACTGCATCCAAAAGCTGTCAAAGGAAATACTTGTCATGTCACCAAGTGCGACAACTGAACAAGACATCAAAGATGATTTATTCCCCCAACAGTAAAAAACTGACAAAGGGTTTCAAAGTTATGTACATCAATGTGTAGCAATCCTGTTTAATAAATCAAATTCCTTCCCAGCTTCTGAGCAGCTAGGGGAAAGACGATAGGCTTCTCTAACATTAGAGTCAAGTTTCATGTACAGTAACATTATCATTGAATAAACTACATCATTCTATAACAAAGGGTAAACAAATGGGACCAAGTCGTGGCGGAATGTCTGTGAAATGTGGCGATATTCAAAAGATACATACTGGTATATTGAATGCCCGCACAGACAAGTCTCAAAGGCTGTCAAACCAGGTGTTATCTGCATAACTCACTGGAACAGACTCTTGCTTTTTTCTCTCTCTCCTCCTTGCACTTTGAACATGAGCGCATTTTATCTGCCAACCCTTCATGCAGTTGTCTATCACCCTCAACACAGCCACTGACACTGCATTCCTGGAAGCTGACACTTCCCAAGCCAATAAACAGTTATATTTTAATCCATCAACATATTCTAGGATCATTTTGAATTTAACTCTGCAATAAGTTCCCATACCAATAAACAGTTATATTTTAATCCATCAACATATTCTAGGATCATTTTGAATTTAACTTTGCAATAAGTTCCCATACCAATAAACAGTTATAATTTATCCATCAACATATTCTAGGATCATTTTGAATTTAATTCTGCAATACGTTCCCATACCAATAAACAGTTATAATTTATCCATCAACATATTCTAGGATCATTTTGAATTTAACTCTGCAATAAGTTCCCATAGCAATAAACAGTTATAATTTATCCATCAACATATTCTAGGATCATTTTGAATTTAACACTGCAAAAAGTTCCCATACCAATAAACAGTTATATTTTATCCATCAACATATTCTAGGATCATTTTGAATTTAACTCTGAAATTAGTTCCCATGCTAATAAACTGTTATAATTTATCCATCGACATATAAAGTTAATTCCGCAATAATTGGTCTGTACATTCTGGCCTCCCTTTGTTTTCCCTTCAATTTAGTATTCTAGTGGTAAAAGCGTTCGCTTGTCACGTCAAAGACCTGGGTTTGATTCCCCACATGGGTACAATGTGTGAAGCCCATTTCTGGCGGCCCCCGTTGTGATATTGCTGGAATATTGATAGAAGCGATGTAAAACCATACTACTCACTCTCTCACTCCAGTCAATTGAACTGCGCAATCAGTTCGAAAGCCAATAAACAGTTATATTTTAATCTACCAATATATACAAGGTTTGTACCATGAAGTTAACTCCGCAATGATTGGTATGTACATTCTGGTCTCCCTTTGTTTTCCAGTCGACACAGCTCATACAGGTGCATAGTATAGGGGATGTGGTGTGTTTTATCAAGCATAACATTCACGTATTCCAAAGCTTGCTGTCAACAATCTACCTTTGAGACAATTTATCAAGTTACACTGACACTGTGGATAATGTCCATCAGTTTTATGACTACCTCTTGTTGAGCATGGCTGATTATCTATTTACTCAAGCTGATAATTCTGTGTTTTATGGCTTGTTTAATGGCCCCTAAAGAAATATTTTTTTCTCAGTTCTGAAGTGGCAGACAATATGTTGCTTCAACTTAAAACTCGCTCATTAGACTCTCGGTTTTTCACAAAGTATGGCTCGAGTTTAGTATTCTTTGATAGACACTAAGAAACAAA